TTGGTAATAAATAGATCTATGCTTAATATTTTTCTGGAATATTAATTATAATAGTGTGCTACTTCAGGAGCAACTACAATTAAGAATGAATTTAATAATGGAAGTTTTATTACTAAACAAAAAAACATTTGATTACACGCCATGTTGATAATATTAATTAATCTGCAAAAACTCGTAAAATATCAGCATGAATTCATTAATGTGAATTGAGTGGAGATGAAGAAAAATATCAATGATTATGACATGCAGAAATCAATTAACAGATTACGTGGTTATGTAAATTGCTTTTCATCAAACTGAGTAGAAAGAAGCCATCAATTAACTCATCAATTAATTATTTATAGATTGCATAATTATGCAACAGGTATCATGATGGATTAATTAATTAGAGACATGAATTAATTCAAAGATATGTTTATGCAAACGGGGTTATGATAAAGTGGAAACTCGTGAATTTGGCATCATATGATTAATTCAATGACATGATTTTATGTACAGATATGAATCATAAATATTGTATAGACATGAATTCTAAGACATAATTCATGCACATGTCAATACACGAATTGACAAAATATGAGTGAACTAAATTCTTTAAGGACATGCAAACAGACGTATGTATTTAGAGACATGAATTGAAAAAAAAAAAAAAAAAGTTACAATTTGACTGCAAGTTTGCACTGTTGTGATGTATTTGTATACATATAAAAAAATTCACATATCACCAAATTAATTTTGGTACAAGTGATAAAAAAAAAATAAAAAAAATTTACTACCTTTACTAGATTTGGAAGATTTAAATGTTCGTGCTGATAACGTGTTATAGAAGTAAAGAAAAGATGAGAGAACAGAGAGAAGTCAATAGACTTTTGTGTATTTTATTAAAAACTAAAGCCCTGTATTTATAGTGCAGAATTAAGAATACAACAGTAATAATTTTTAGGGTTGCAGTGGTATAATTGTCATTCATCTTTAAACTCTAATAAACTTTCCTTTTACAACAAACTAGCATTATTGTAATATTATTGTTTAGTTTAGATTTTTTAGAATTTAATTACTTAAAATTTAGACCCTCGGTGCGCTAATATTTTAAACTATTAAGGTTAGTGAATGGACGGCAAACACTGTTAAATTAATAAAGGTACTCAACCATTATAATTAAACGATATTAGAAGAAGCACTTCTCAAATAAAAGGTTAGTTATAAATTTAATTAGACAAACAGTATTAAAACGGTGGCATTATATAGTTCAATTAGTTTATTATTATTATTATTATTATTATTATTATTATTATTATTATTATTATTATTATTAATTTTTTTCAAAACCCGAGTTGACCGTCATTGACTTCGACGACCTTTAACTCTAGTCGAAAACCCATGGCAAGTAAAATTAAGTCCTTGTTTGATCCATATTTTTCAAAAAACTAATTTTCTGTGAACTTATTTTCAATCGCTCATGCACCTATAAAATAATTTTGTATGTAAATCTAAATTTTTTTCATACTTTTTAACTCCAAATTCTTCAAAAAATTACTATTACAAAATTCATTTTTCACCAAATATATTAGGTGACCACTTATGTGGCTTAAACAAGTTGAGAATTATTCAAACAAGGGGAAGCCACATCTATCAACCACCGTTTGGTGGCTCACATGCCTAACATTTTCGCCAACGTTGACACAAAAATACATGCAAATACCATTTCTTTGTGGCTTTATACTTACCCATCACCTAGTGTGTATAAGTGGGTGAGTCTATCTTGGTTCGCGACAGTTTAGCTCGGGTAATGCCTAGTACAAGATTGTTTCATTTACGTGTAAAAGTGTGTTGTGTCGGATTTTGCCTTGAATAATTATATCAAAATAATTTAATTCAATTTGATTTTGAGTAAAAATGTTGAACTCTTAGTAAAGTCCCGTTATAGATCATCTTTTGAATTTGTTGGGCCTCTGTCGATTAAAGGGTAGGCCTTACACTGAGCCCATTCGTTTTGGACCAAGTGGGGCCTTCGTAGCATGTCCTAGAGCTGCCAAAGTCCAATAGTTTGTTGGGTATTTCAGCCCAATTTGCAAGTTTAAACCACCCTTGTATAGGGTATATTTACATCAATCATGATATTAGTACATATTTTTTATATAGAAAATTTTGATAGACAAGACTTGGTGTGACATCATTTGAAGATGGGAAAAAAATATAGGCCAATAAGGTTTGGCCACATCACGTCTCTTTTAATTCTTTTAAAATTTTCTTGTACTTGGATCTTTATTGATATTTACACTCTGCATACTGCATTTACCAATACGTACTATAATATCTAAAATAAAATGCTTGCAAAGAATCGTACAAATTATCTATTTAAATAGTTAAATAGATCAAAACACCCATGATCGAAAATAACAGATTACACTTTTTGCATTACATTGTATAACGTTTTATATACCAATTTCTCAACTGATTTTTTATTCTTTAAAAGTTCAATTAATATTCCAGTTTTATCTAAAAAAAAATATTATTATTTATTTCTAATTCATCTACCACTCCATAAATTAACATTTATTTAAATTTTCTCCCTCTGTCATTTACATGATTTTTTTTCCCCATTCTATAAATTTATTACTTGTATTTATATATTCCTATCTCCTATAAAGTTTTCTTACATAATATAATAGAAAAAGCCTTCCACGGTAACTATACCAGTAAAATTACACATGCGTTCTGGACAATTTTTAAGTTGCAAATTAACCAACTTAAAATATATGAATTTGATTTTAACTACAAAATAAGAAATAATACCAGAAATTATTTTACTTGATTATTTTTAATTTTTATTCATTAAAATATTAATTATAGGATAGCAATTATTATTTTTATTTATTTTTACACTTTTGAAAGAAGCTATTGAAGTATTTTCTATATTTTTAATAGTTTATTAATTTACTAAAATTTTATTGATTTTATGTTTAAAGAAAATTATAGTAAAATTTGTATTAATTCTCACATACAAAATAATAATAATAATAATAAATGAAAACTCAACAACAAGAAAATAGCTGCAAAGCGTTACATGAGGTAATGTACGTAGTTTGATTTTTCTATTTCAGTTAATGATATTTTAATTTGTTCACCTATATATAATGTCAGATTCGTAAATTTATTTTTCTGAGTATGTAGAGTGTAGTTTCACCCCCATATTTTTTATTAAAAAATTATCGTATAATAATAATTATTAATTAATTAAATTTCTCAAATTCTTTTGGAAGCGTTGTTTTCGTCCATCATTTTTAGATATCTATTCATCCCTATTAAAAATTTTAAATTTTTAAAAAGTGTTAAATTCATCCACATTAAATTCCAACACTATCATTATTAAATTCATTGATTTAAACACTGCGCCCCATTTGCTATAAATTAAAATTCAAATTTTATTCCAAGTCAAATTCGACAACAAATTTTAAACATATATTTTATGGGATCCACAGCTTTTTAACTACACATTTCATCAACTTTTATCAAAATCTATTAAAAATTTTATTTTAATCCCCACGAAATAGAGCCTATATATTCCCAAATAAATATGATTTTTTTCCATTTTAGTAAGCCACGAAACCAAGTCACCAACGTCCAAACGCAGAACTTAAGAACACTAAACACAGATGGAAGAAGTAGCTAATGCAAGTCATTTTGCTGTCTTACCAAAACATGCAATTATGACCATAAACCTATTTGATACCAATTCGTGGTGAATCTTGCTTTCTAAGTCAGTTTTACTTATTTGGTAACGAAATGTTAGACTGATCTACCTGAAGGCAACCAAGTGCTTGACCGACCTTTCGCCTATAGGAACCACAAACTTGGAATTGCAAATGAAGAATTTCATATGCAATCAACAAATTAAGAATTCCATCTGTAGGTGCAGACAAAGAAGGTCATGCAATTCTTGCTACAATCGAGGAACAAGAAAAGAATATCGGGTTACCAAGTGTTGCATTAATGTTCTGAAAGTTCCACCACACATGAAGTAATCATAACAATTTAGACTAGGATTACTAATTAATAAAAGTTTAACCGAGACAGAATAATTACAGAAAATCATTCCAAGCAATTTTGAAAATCATTTGAGGTAATTTTGGTTTTCTTTCATTTGTGTACCTTCAATGTGTTTTTGGTGATTGGATATATATTCTTTCTATATCTTAACAGCTTTAAGGTAAGAAATTTAGTAGCAGATCTGTGTTCTTTCATTTTGGTTTTTTCATCGAGGACCCCGCCCCCCCCAAGTTGTCAAGTACAGTGCAATGCTAGCTTGTGGTAACTATCATGGTGTTGTTGGTTTTGCAAAAGCAAAAGGTCCATCAATTCCTATTGCTCTTCAAAAGGTATCTTGTTGGTATTTGCCTTCGTCGGTGAATTTCAGAAAATTCCTCTGTTGAAAATGGAATCAGTTGAACTCATGGTTAACTAGCAGAAAAACTTCCAGTGCTGCTAGATTAATGAGCAAAACTTGAGTACTTGACTGTTAAGGTATTATATCCCACATCGAATGATGATGAAAATAAATACCAATTTATAAAGGATTGGACTTCTCCACTTAATAAGATTGACCTTATTAAGATGGACCCCAAACTTTAAAATGGTATCAGAGCCAACCCATGAATTTCAAGATTGGTGTGATCAAGTGAGCCACCATCTTGAGGGGGCCTGTTAAGGTATTATATCCCACATCAAATGATGATGAAAATAAATACCAACTTATAAAGGATTGGACTTCTCCACTTAATAAGGATGACCTTATTAAGATGGACCCCAAACTTTAAAATTGACATGTGTGTGTGTGTGTAAAAATATCCAATTAACTAATTTTGTTTCAAATATGTACCATAGGTTCTTTCTATTGTGTGAAGACAATTTGTATGTTAAGAATGCCTTTAAATTATCTGGTTGCTCGTGCTAACTATTATTGTGTTCTTTTACTTATTCATTTTCTTACAAGCCTACGAGAAATGTTTTCAGAATCTCCATTGTGTTGAACGGTATGAGGAGCATACAATTGCACATGCAGTCCAGACTTTGTATAAAAAGACCAAGGTTCTATGTGTTTTCTGGTTCCTTAAGCTTGTTCTAAAGGAAGAAGGAAAATGTAGAGTTTAAAGTGTAGTATACAGAAGATTATTACAACTACAATGCGAAAAATATAAACTCTCTAAGTGTGAAAACGAATCAAAACGACCCAAAGCTTCTTCAACACCAATAATGGAGTCTTCTATGATGTTGAGCTTAGATTTATGCCACACTGGATCATACACCGTTGTCCACGTGAATGCCAATGTATATACCGAGAAAAGATCCGCCGGAAGCCACCAAGAATTTCACCGGAGATATGGAAAGCTCCCACTTGGTTACCTCTCTATGCTTTCTCTCTATTGTTATGCCAAATCCAAAAATGAGAGAAATAAAGAAGTCTTGCAATTATAGATCCAATTCATTTGAATTCAAAATTCAAATATTGTACTATGGTCAACTAGAAAGTGATGACAAGATTAAACCTAACCATTGGATTTAATCTATGGTCCATATTACTCCATAACTAGCACAATCTACTTCCATTCTCTAGACCAATAAATTTGCACCAGATAGAGGGTGTGATCCACCTTGCAAATCTTCATCTTGGATCACATAACATCCATCGCCAAATTCCCCGATTACAAGTGATATTCTTTAGTGTGGTATTCTTTTTATCATTATCGCCCACTTCAGCTCAGTACCTGCACAACAATTAACCATTATCAATACTCAGTGTTGATAAACATTTGTTGAACTTACCAACCGCAAGTACTTTTGTTCCAACATCTGCAGGGTTATCATTAGTTGCAATTTTAAGCAAAAATTAAATCACCAGATGCTAACTTCTCCCTAATGAAGTGATACTTCACCTCAATATGCTTAGAACATTCATGATAAACAGGATTTTTACACAACATCAATGAACTTCGACTATCAGTAAAAATCATAGCATTATCATTCAAGAAGTTTAATTCACATAGAAGGCCTTTCAATCACATGCATTCATTTACAGCTTCAGTTAATACAACATATTCTGCTTCAGTGCTGGAGAGTATAATTATAGATTGCAGTTGTGATTTCCAAGTGATACAATTATCACCTAAAGTGAAGAAGTAAGAAGTGGTAGATTTCCTCTGATCTTTATCCACCGCATAGTCAGAATCTACATATCCTCTAAGTTCTAATTTGTTACTTCTCCTTTCAAACACTAATCCCCTTTTCAAAGATCCAGCTAGGAATCTTAATAGCCATTTAAGTGCAGTCCAATGCGGTTTACCTGGGTTAGATGTAAACCTATTCAAGAAACTGACTGCATATGCAAAGTCTGGTCTTGTGGTAATCATAGAATACATCACAGACCCAATGACATTAGTAAATGGAACATTACTCATTTCATGCATTTCTTCTTCAGTTTTAGGGCATTATGTAGATGATAAGTTCATGTGTACAGCTAATGGTATATTGATAAACTTAGCAAATTTCATACCAAATTTGGTTATCATTTTATTGAAATAAGTCTCTTGATTAATAGTCATCCTATTATCAGCCCTATTCATTTTAATTACCATGCCAAGGATTTTTCTTGCCTCTCCTAAGTCTTTTATGTCAAATTTAGATATTAAAAGGTTTTTCATCTTTATAATTTCAGCCTTATTAGGGCTAGCAAGCAACATGTTATCCACATATAACAATAAATAAACTTCATAGCCTATTTTAGAGTTATTAAAATACATACATGCATCAAATTCACTCCTTTTAAAACCAATTTTAAGCATATAAGCATCAAATCTGGTATATCATTGCATAGACTCTGCTTAAGACCATACAAGGACTTTCTAAGCAAGCACACAAGTTCTGATTTCCCCTTCACCTCAAACCCTTGAGGTTAAGACATGTAAATTAATTCATCTAACTCCCCATGAAGAAAATCCGTCTTAACATCTAGTTGCTCTAACTCCCAATCATACCGGATAACTAAAGCTAAGACTAACCTGATAGTTTTATACTTAATAACTGGTGAGAACACCTCATTATAGTCTATCCCCTCTCTCTGAGTAAATCCCTTCGCAACCAACGTCGCTTTATATGTTAAAGGGTCTTTTGGTCCTACTCATTCTTTTAACTTGTCGATCCATTTACAGTCGACTATCTTTTGATTCTTTGGTTTTTCAACCAACTTTCAAGTCTCATTTTTGTTTAGAGACTAGATCTCCTCTCTCATAGCCTTTTTCCAACTTTCAAATTTTTGACAGTTAATCGCTTCTTCAAACGAAGTCGGTTCAACTGACTCCAAGGCTTTACCTGAAACTAGGACAAATTCCATTAAATTTAAAGAGATGTATTTCAAATTGGGCTTCACTTGTCTTCTCTCCCTGTCCCTAACTAATTGGTAATCATCCAAATTAGTACCTGCAAATGTTTCATGATTAGGGACAACAGTTCAAGTTCAAGTTGTTCTATTACTACTTCTTGATCAGATTCTTCTTGAGGTCATATTTCACTATCCTCTGAATTATCATCTAATCTCTTCACCTCAAACTCCATCTTCTTTCTAGTAGAAGATTCTACTTCCTCAGTCTGATTGTTATGACTTACTATGTTTTTAAGACAAGGCATATCAAGTTCATTAAACTTCACATCTCTATTGTTAATAATCTTAATGCCCTTTACATCTAAAACTTATAGTCTATATCCTTTCACTCCCTCTGGATAACTTAACATGACACACTTAGTAGCCCTAGGGTCCAATTTGCATTCAATCTGATGTGCATAACCCACACAACCAAATACTCTAATGTGTAACAAATCTGGGATTTTCCAGACCATAACTCTTGAGGAGTCTTGAAGTTAATAGAACTAGAAGGTGACCTATTTATCAAATAGGCAACAGTACACATGGCGTCACCCCAGAAACCTTTAGACAACCCAGAACTAATCATTATACATCTGACTTTATCCATTAAAGTTTGATTCATCCTCTCCGCCATCCCATTTTGTTGAGGGGTATGTCTTACAGTCCTGTACCTCATTATACCATTTCCCTTGCAGAAACTATCAAATTCGAAGTTGCAAAACTCTAAACCATTGTCTGTCCTAAGAGTTTTCACACCCTTTCCCATTTGATTTGAAACTAAGGCAAGCCAAGACTTAAACTTACTATAAATTTTAGATTTGGATTTAAAGAGATACACCTAAACTTTCCTTGAGTGATCATCAACAATGGACTATTCCCTCCATGTGTGGGATGTTTTACAGGACCCCACAAATCTGCCTGAATATAGTCCAATGGTCTCTTAGTGTTGTGTTCACCTATCCCGAAGCTAACCCTGTGTAACTTTCCTAGGACACATGTCTCGCAAAAACTTAAAGGCGTAATACTATTCTTACCAAGTAAATTTTGGCCACTAAGATGTTTCAACCCTTTGTTCCCAATGTGTCCCATCCTCTTATTCTAAGGGTCTGATCTATCTTCACAAACTAAAGATAATGCTGACTCTTTGCTATCTAAGGCTTTACCTTGAAGGATATATAACTCATTCTTCTTGGGACCTTTGATAACCACTAGAGATCCTTTACAAATATTTAAAGTATTAGAATGAGATTTGAAATCATGACCTTCTTCTTCTAGAGTGCCTAAGGAGATAAGATTTTTTGCCAGCCCGAGACATAGCTAACACCTCTAAGGGGTCTGATAATGCCATCATACATCCTAATAGCAATATCACCTACTCTTTTTACATTGTGTGTACGATCATTCCCTAAATATACTTTTCTAGGATTCCATCTCTATAGTTATAGAACCAAGATATAACATGACACATATGAACAGTGGCACCTAAGTCTAAAACCCACTCAGTGTCAAAATCAATATTAGAAACTTTCATGACATGTATGTTATCACGAGCACCATCTACATTGGTGTCAAAATCTCCTGACACGGTCATAACATATAGGTAATCGAGAGAATCACTTATACCAACTAAGTTTTGATCATCATTGTGTTGCGGTCTCCGTTTCTTCTTAAAGTCATTACAGTCTCTCTTAAAATGTCTTAACTTGCCACAATGGAAGCATTTCTTACCACTCTTATCTCTAGACTTAAACCTACCCTTTGATTTTCCTCTATCCTTCTTACTTTGAAAATGGTTTTTCCTCATCTCATTCCTCCCGCTAACAAACAAACTCTCTTTTCTCGAGCTATCCCTCGACTCTTTCTTAAGCTCTAGCTCCCTAGCCCTTAAAATATCAGTCATAATATCTTGGGTCAATGTATCCCTAGCATATGTGATAGCATTCATAACATCTCTATAGGTTTCGGGTATAGCATTCAAAAGTATAACAGCTAGATACTTATCATCAAATTTCTTATCATTGTGGGCCAAACACTTGACGAGTCTGTTAAAGTCACTCAAATTAGACTCAAGATCCTTTTCCGAGTCAAGCTTAAAACTAAACAGTTTTTGAAGCAAATGTATTTTGTTTGGAAGAGATTTTTCCAAAAGTAGTGTCAAGTACTTCCCACAACTCTTTGGAAATCTTATGTTGTTCAACTTGTCCTAACACATTATCAGATAAATGCAATATAATCAAACTACGTACAATTTCATTCATATCAGTAATTTCATCCGATTTAGCTTTTAATGCATCGAGATATTTTTTCGGGTCGTCAAGAGCTTTAGAAACTTTTTGTTGAATTAAAATAGCTTTCATTTTTTGTTTCTAAATGGAATAATCTCCCTTACCATTTAATTGTGCCAATTCAACTCAAGAGGCCATGGTAGCAAAATAATGTTTTAGGAAAAAGTTTTACTTAGCCAATTTACCCATATAAAAATGCAAGCTCAAACGAATTTATGTATAAATTACTTTCTAAGATGACATAAATGATGATATTATAACAACTAACAGATAAACAATATCACAAGAGTTAAATAACAATATGAAAGGAAATAACACAATATTTCAATTTCAAATTCGAAAGGGTGTTAGCGCGCAAATCGAGCGAACCAATCTGTTGGTTCGTACTTTAAGGAGAGATACAAGTCTTTATCGATCTAGGGCCTCCACTAATTGCCCTAAGTCATCCCATAGCTGCTACAACACCAGGAAACACCACCAAGCCACCAACGGAAAAGTTTCTCCGTTTTTACTTTTCTATCGGAGACTGTATCTGCTTCCTCAGTACACCAAACTAAAATCAAACACCACCAGAAGGTCTAAATTTCATCAAGGAACAATATGTCTTTTTTCACCTCTAGCTAATTTCCTTGCACACGTCCCCACGCGCCCAAAATGTCTTCTGTGCGTGGTCTCACGCGCTACTTACACTGTCGACGCGTGTGGTACATGCGTTGCACCATCAAGTTCGTCTCGTCATCTAGAGTCTGGTGGTGGTTGCCATTCGTTCACCAGGTGTGTAGTTTTTCCAGAAAATAGGTTTAAAGTTTCTATTGAACTTGTTTTCGAACAAAACCTAACTCCTTTGCCTTCCAATCCGATTTTCAGGTTGTTTTAACACTTTTTACCACTAGCCTAAGCTCTAATACCATTTGTAGAGTTTAAAGTGTAGCATACAAAAGATTATTACAACTACAATGCGGAAAATATAAACCCTCTAAGTGTAAAAACGAACCAAACGACCCAAAGCTTCTTCAACACCACCAATGGAGTTTCGTATGATGTTGAGCTTAGATTTGTGCCATACTGGATCATACATCATCGTCCATGGGAATGACAATGGATATACCAAAAAAAGATCCATTAGAAGCCACCAAGAATTTCGTCGGAGATATGGATAGCTCCCACTTGGTTACCTCTCTATGCTTTCTCTCTATTGTTATGTCAAGTCTAAAAATGAGAGAAATGAAGAAATCTTATAATTATAGAGTCAATTCATTTGAATTCAAAATTCAAATATTGTACTATAGTCAACTAGAAAATGACAACACTAATATATGATAATTGACCACAAGATTAAATCCGACCATTGGATTTAATCTATGTTCTATATTACTTCATAACTAGCACAATCCACTTCACATTCTCTGGACCAATCGATTTGCACCAGATAGAGGGTATGATCCACTTTATAGAAAATTATAGCTAAAAGAAAATTTTCATTTTTTCTTGTTACCCAAATATTGTATTGACTTTTAGGTGTATCTTTGGCCTGCATCCACTCAAACAGGGATGAAAGCAGGCAGAACTGTCCAAACAATTCTCAATTTGGCTGGTTTCAAAAATGTGAAATCAAAGGTTAAAAAATAAAATAAAAATCTAATGTCCTATGACCTGCAAAATTGGTTTCTAAATTCAGGATGTCTTTGTTGGGAATCTACTTATACATGCACAGCGGAAATTAAAATTATTTCGATTCCCACCGAGGATCCCTTTGTGTTTAGATAGAAATCGTGATAAAGATTGTACCTTTGAAGAATTCTGCAAACCTTTTGCTTTTCTTTTCGCTCCAGCAATTTTGATTCGCCACCCACAGCTGTCCAATTGTCCAGCCTCCAATGGTGATCCACACAGAGAATAGATTGCAACTGCTAGAATTTTTTTCTCTTGTGCCAGCAAGAATAATGAAAAACATATGGACCTCAAACCCTAGCCATGTATTTATATAAACCCAAATGGGTTCGGCCCGGTCCGGTCCAATATTTAATTAATCTATTTAATTAAACCCGGTCCGTGAATTAATTAATCAAATTAATTAATTCGGGATATAAATAACCAATCCAATTAATTAATTTATTTAACGATTGTTAAATTAATTAATTGACAAATTGTAATCTTTCAATTCTCTTTTGTGTGTGACCCATCAGGTTCCCAATCACGATGTCTAACGACGTGAAATATTATTTTGATCTAATTAAAATTGACAAATTAAAACACTCTTTTAATTTATCCTCAATTCACACTCGTCGTCTCAGATTGATATCTAGCAATGTGTCAGGGCAATACATGTGACGAAAAATGTCACGTGGTATGACAAAACCAAAATCGTTCGTTTACGTTGAAACTATAATCCCTTCGTCAATATGATCCGATCAATTACGAGATATGAAATTGTGTCAATCCCGAATATCGATCATATCTTTCACTCCACTATTAAGTCAATATAAGTCGAAAACTCCTTTTCGACTTATGAGTATACCTTGACCAAGGATTTCGTTATCAACTTAATTGAATGAAACGCAGATCATAATCTCCTACTATCTAAGAGTGACGAATCCTTTATTGGTCAATCACAACCTTCATACGATTCTTGACGTACCCGAACGATGTCATATTAGCGGCCCTTTGCAGAGCAACATCCAACACCGCCAAAGTATGACCGTCCTCATATAAGGTACCATGACGACCTCAAGTCAAAGGACCAATTCCACTACCGAACGTTAGAGATTAACCACTGACACTCAGATAGTTATCCATGTAGAATCTCTCGGCGGGTCTCCAATGTTTTGTTCTATAACAAAATATCCACGTGTTCATTTAAGTGTCACCACACTTTAACTTGTGAGATCAGCTACTTACTTCACAAGTAAGAAATACCACACGTGATGGTCTATCCGTAATAGCGATATCCGTATCTCATTATTACTTACGACCACTGACGATTTAAGATTCAATCAGATGTAATTTTATATCTCACAATCACAACTCCTTGTGATTAACAAATTACGAAGATTTGAATCTACGGACTCTATTATTTATTTAATTATCTATTAATTAAATAATAGATTTGCCATTAAATTGCATTAATTATATATCAAAAGTATTTATGTCCAAAGTTGATTGGACCTATGGCATAATACTTACAAACTCCCACTTGCGCTAGATCCAATCACTTATGTATCCAATATCATAAGTTTACATGACGATTATGTTTATGCTACGACAACTCTTTGTCAGTGGATCTGCAATATTGTTAAATGTGGGAATTTGTTCTTCTCTTTACGTCATTTCTATGTATTATCTTCTTTTGATGGAATTATACCGCCTTAATACATGTTTGGATCATTGATGAGACCTTAGTTCCTTTGCTTTCGCAATGGCTCTATTGTTATCATAATACAACGGTAAGTGATCAACAATATCAGGAACTACTCCAAGTTTATTTATGAACATCATGATCCAAGTTGCAACTCTTTGCTACTTCTGAAGTAATCATGTATTAGGTTTCTACTATTGAATCAATGGTTGCTTCACGTTTGGAACCTTTCCAACATACCGCTTAAGAGTAAACCAATTTTTCCACATGAAATCTTCTCAAGATTTCATCTATGTAAATAGGGATGCGTTAAGCAATCTTCTAGATCTACCTCTATAAATCAAGTTGCTTATCCCATATCGTTCATGAATAAATCTTTTAACAACCATTATTTCAACGATTGGAACATAGGGATGTCGTTTTCTATAATATTAGGAATACGACAATGTTTCCACTATCCTCTTGTAAACACACAATTCGTCTTCAAATTTGATAAAATCAATCACTTTGACTTTTTCCATCAAATCGAAAATTTCAGCTCCATAGAGGCTTATCTTAACCTTTAGTTACGATATGCAACTGTTGCAAATAAAACCTGAATGGATTTCAGCAAGGCCATGGGAGAAAGGTTTTATCAGTATCAACACTTAACCTTTGCTTCTAGCCTTGCTTTATATATATGGATATTCACATTCACATCGACCTTTTCCTTGTAAACTATTTACAAAACCTTATGAGTTTTATTCCATCAGGAGGCTTGACCAAGGTCCAAACCTTGTTTACATACGTTGAGTTCATCTTGAGTTTCATGGCCTCTTGCCGTCTCTTTTAAGTCAACACTTGACTTTATTTTGTTGGTGCAACTAGCAGGTTCATTATTTTGGATCAGTAATACCTGATTAGTGATCGTGGATTCGCACCTTCTTGAAGGTACAATGATCCTACTAGATTCACATAGAGCTGTCATGTCCTCAGGAGTCTTTACTTCCTGATCCAAAGTATGTCCCATATCAGATATGGGATCAAACTCGGATTTATCTACTTGGTTAATTATATTTGTGGACTCTTGAACTCTTTCAAAATCTATTTTACTCCTACTGTCCTCTCCTAGAGTAAACATTTTCTTTAAGAAGACGATATGTTGTGAGATGAAAACTTTTTTCATGATAATAGAATTAATATTCAAATGTTTGCTTTGAATATCCCCACATATACGTATTTATCAGATTTAGTGTTAAACTTATCTGATTCAAGGCGCTTCAAATAAGCATCATGGCCCCAAACTTTCATATAAGATAAATTGGGACTATTGTCTTTCCATAACTCGTATGGAGTTTTGTTAACCAATTTAGATGAGACATGATTTAGTGTGTTGCACACTGCAATCAATGCATGACCCAAAATAATTTTAGGAGATTTGCATGGCTTGTTATTAGTTGCATTATATCTAATAATTAACGATTCCTCCTTTTAGATACACCACTATGCTGTAGTGTATATGGAGGAGTCCACTACAAGAGAATCTCATTTTCTCTTAGATAATCTAAATTTTATCTTTAAAATACTCTCACTTGATCAAATCTTAATGTGAGGGTATCTTTACCTATTTGTTTCTCTACTTCTAGTTTGAATCCCTTGAACTTTTCAAGACTTTCAAGTTTGAGTTTTCATCAAGTATCCATGATCATTGATGAAATAAGAGAAACATTATCTAACATTGATTGACATGAATCCATATGCATCACTGTGCATTAGACCAGTAATTATACTGGCCTTTTTTCTTTTCAAGTAAAAGAAGATTTGGTCACTGTGCTAGACATGCATAATTTGTACTTGTCAAAATCAATTAATCTCGAGTATACATCTTTATGTTACCTTGGAATTGCATTTCATTTATATGAAAAAGTCTGTCATGCCAGATTTTGGTAATAATTAGATTATCGCATTTATGCCTTATAATTTCTATATTCATTATAGAATCCTTAGTATTTAGAATATAAATGTTATTTTGTAACTTACCACAACTTTTAATATCTTAATCAAGAGATGCAGAAACAACAATTATCCTTAACATTAAAATTGTTTATGTCTGAACATGAAATTTATTTTAATGTTCCAGCTATGGTGGGTACAAAGCAATATTTCTCTAATTCCACTGCTAAGTCAAAAAGCAATGGCAAGAAGTATGCTCCTACAAGTAATGCAGCAACATTTGCTCATCTCCAACATGTAGGTTAACTTCTTCCTTTCGCAGTGGTCTACTTCTATTTAGTTTCTCCATATTTGTATAAATGTGAGATTCACATATGGTATCTAATACCTGAGAAAATAATAAAATAGACATAAGCCTTGCAATATGCCTTCCAATGACCTTTCATTCTATAATGAAACCAAAGGCCATTAGATTTGGTATTGTCCTTCACTTTGACGGTCTTAACTATATTGGACGCTTTCACAAAGCCCCTTTAGACTTCCTCTTAATATCTTTAGAGGAATCAATGACTTGCCAATTACTAACTTTGATGTTGGGCTTAACAGTCTTAAGCATGTTAAGTAACTTAATAATTGTATATTTGAGCTTATTCACGTTAAATTCATAATTAGTTATGAATAGCTTTCTCTGACAGAGATTGCAGAACCAAGTCATTACTTAATTCATGGTTTATGATTGAACTCAATTGAGACATTTCTCAACGTCAATCATTTTCAGTGTTTAAGCATCGATTGAAGATTACTCTGTCATATTGCACTAGTATAGTTGTTTGGAAGTCTCATATCCTTCCACACATGATTATTATCATACAACTCTTTGTAATGAAGAATTATGTGTTAACATCTATACTCTCAAGTTGCTTTTGTAACTCAGGTGACATAGTTGCAGGTATCACATACGTTGCAGTACTATTGTCATCACTGCGTTTACTACAATAGCCACTTCTTCTTTAATCGAGTCATCAGCAGGTGTCTCTGGAAAGAGCTACTCAAGGACGTGATCAATTTTCTCATGCATGAGAACAATTCTCAAATTGCGGTGTCAATTAAGAAAATATAGTTTGGTTGCTGGCATCTAGTATGCCATTCAAATACTCATGGTTACTCACGATCCAATAAATATAAATGACGAAAAGAAAAAGAATAATATATAAAATACATCAATTAATTTAACTTGGACTTTTATTAAATTAATTATGCTCCCACTGTTTAATACAAATTTATGACCCTCTTACATAAATTTATGGAGTCCATATTTGACTCCCAGTGGGCTGAGATCTCATCTATTATATTAAGACCTTGAGTGTACTCAACAAACCTTAATATAACATTTGGGTAGATACTATTATCAATTGTATCTCCATACAACTCCCAGATTATTAAGTTGATAACTCTTTATTTTCACACATCTTATGTGTTAGCTTAACATGCCTCTAAAATTTATCTCCTTGAGTGTACTCAACAAAAGATAAATTTTAGTTAAGTTAAACCCGTTATTCAGAGATATCAAATATTTCATAGTGTCAAACATATCCCTAATGGACCAGCCTTGAGTGTACTTAACAAGTTGAGACAATTTGGGACTCTGATTTTTCACTATAATGATGGAAGGCGATTACAAATGTGACTTAATATTTTTATAGAGGGATTTTGCATTCAAAAGTCTCATCAATAACGATACAATCATATACATATATTATTATACATCAACAATGCAAATAAATAAATAAATATATATATAAATATATATATATATATAACGATTATGGACTTTACTATCTAGTCTTCTCGAGTCATAAGGAAGACTATTTGGTCAATTTCTAGGGGGTATCACACTGATCAGTATCAATGCGCCGTCTCTATGGTCTTTTCCTTTCTTGTTTCTTTAATTAGTCCAATTGCAACATGTATCCTATACTAGTTGACACGCAGGCCTAAATGAAATTGGACTCGCATGCCCATAGCAATAGTAATAATAACGGACTCACATGTCCAAAATAATAACAAAAATAACGGGCTCACAGACCCAAAACAATTAAGAGCTCGCAGACCCATAAAACGACAAGAATAAAAATTAACCATTCAACACATCCATATGGTCGAGTCTATAATTGTCCACTAATAATACATTCATCACATAAATGTATACCTATATAATATCTAATATTATATGCAAATTAATTTCAAGTTTCTAGCAATTAAGTCGTCTAAACTCTTTTAGACAAATGGATCGGAACAATTAAATAATTAATTAATCATATTAATCGATTATTTAATTAGCGAAAATATTTAATTAAAATCAAATTTTGATTAAATAACAAATTAGAGTCCAACTCTAATTTAACAATTATATGGCGGGATTATTTAATTAAAATCAAATCTTAATTAAATATCAAATTAGAGTCAAACTCTAATTTCAAAATGTGAGGCGGTTGAATTTAATTAAAATCAAATTTTAATTAAATAGAATTAAGGGCGAATTAATTTAATTAAAATTAAAATTAATTAAATACCAAATTAGAGTCCAACTCTAATTTCGAGATCTTAGGGTGAACATGTTTAATTAAAATCAAATTTTAATTAAACACAAATTAGAGTCTAACTCTAATCATAAATAAAATTTTAGGGCAACACAATCTAATTAAAATCAAATTTTAATTAAATGTCAGATTAGAATCCAATTCTAATTTCAAATATATAATCGGGTGAATAATTGATTAAAATCAAATTTTAATTAAGTATTAAATTAAAGTCAAACTCTAATTTAAATTGAATTAATATTTTAATCTAGGATAATACTCCTAAATAAAATAAAAATTCAATCGGGTCAAAGTTTAATGTTTAAGTCAAAATCCAATATTAACGAAAATATAAAATGTCATCAATTTTAAATAAAATTTTAATTTGGGTCAAAATTAAATTATGGGTCAAACTCATTTAAAATTCAAATTTAAAACCATTTTTAAATTCAAATTTAAACACTTTCAAAATTTGCAATTTGACCCAAGGCTCAAGATTAAAAACAAGCCCTTCCATTTTAACAAATTTCAGAACAGGCCCTTGTTTTTAAATTGCAACTTCAACCCTTTTCTGTAATTGCATGCGGGGGCTTACAATTTAAGAAATTGCAACACAAGCCCCGGCATCCAAAACACTCTCCCATTTTCTGCAAAACCCTAAAATAATAATTTTTTTTTTGTTTCACCAGCGCCGCATCCACCAAGCAAGACCCACCGCCTTCTTGCCCACGCCCAAAACAGCACGAAAGCGCTGCCACATTCAGCAGCGCTTTCGCGCTGCTAAAGACAGCGGCAGGCGTCGCTGGTTGTAGCAGTGTCTGCCGCTCGACCCCATCAACGCCCCTCTTCCGGTCGACACAGGCAGTCGCACCCCAACACTATTTTTTTTTTGTTATATTTTCAGATTCCAATCCAATAAATAATTTTTTCTGTTGGAAAAATTATTTATTTCGTTAATTGCTAAAACAAGAAAAACAATTAACATTTAATTGTTCCAACATACAAAACAATTTCTAACAAACACAAAGTAGGCTCTAATACCACCGTTGGGAATCTACTTATACATGCACAGCGGAAATTAAAATTATTTCGATTCCCACCGGGGATCCCTTTGTGTTTAGATTGAAATCGTGATAAAGATTGTACCTTTAAAGAATTCTGCAAACCTTTTACTTTTCTTTTCGCTCCAACAATCTTGATTTGCCACGCACAGCTGTCCAATTGTCCAGCCTCCAATGGTGATCCACACAGAGAATAGATTGCAACTGCTAGGGTTTTTTTTTCTCTTATGCCAGCAAGAATAATGAAAAACATGTGGACCTCAAACCCTAGCCATGTATTTATATAAACCCAAACGGGCTCGGCTCGATCCGGTCCAATATTTAATTAATCCATTTAATTAAACCCGGTCCGTGAATTAATTAATCAAATTAATTAATTCGGGATATAAATAACCAATCCAATTAATTAATTTATTCAACGATTGTTAAATTAATTAATTGACAAATTGCAATCTTTCAATTCTCTTTTGTGTGTGACCCATCAGGTTCCCGATCACGATGTCTAACGACGTGAAATATTATTTTGATCTAATCAAAATTGATAAATTAAAACAACATTTTAACTTATCGTCAATTCACACTCGCCGTCTCAAATTGACATCCAGCAATGTGTCAGGGCAATACATGTGACGGGAAATGTCACGTGGTATGACAAAACCAAAATCGTTCGTTTACATTGAAACTATAATTCCTTCGTCAATATGATCCGATCAATTACGAGATATGGAATTGTGTTGATCCCGAATATCGATCATATCTTTCACTCCACTATTAAGTCAATATAAGTCGAAAACTCCTTTTCGACTTATGAGTACACCTTGGCCAAAGATTTCGTTATCGATTTAATTGAATGAAACGCAGATCATAATCTCCTACTATCTAAGAGTGACGAATCCTTTATTGGTCAATCACAACCTTCATACGATTCTCGACGTACTCGAATGATGTCGTATTAGCGGCCCTTTTAAGAGCAACATCCAACACCGTCAAAGTATGATTGTCCTCATATAAAGTACCATGACGACCTCAAGTCAAAGGACCAATTCCACTACCGAATATTAGAGATTAACCACTGACACTCAGATAGTTATTCATGTGGAATCTCTCGACGGGTCTCCAATGTTTTGTTCTATAACAGAACATCCACGTGTTCATTTAAACATCACCACACTTTAGCTTGTGAGATCAGCTACTTACTTCACAAGTAAGAAATACCACACGTGATGGTCTATCCGTAATAGAGATATTCATATCTCGTTATTACTTACGACTACGGACGGTTTAAGATTCAATCAAATGTAATTTGTATCTCACAATCACAACTCTTTGTGATTAACAAATTACGAAGATTTGAATCTACGGACTCTATTATTTATTTAATTGTCTATTAATTAAATAATAGATCTGTCATTAAATTGCATTAATTATATATCAAAAGTATTTACGTCCAAAGTTGATTCGACCTAGAGCATAATACTTACAGTCTTAACATGAATACTCGTATAGGTCATCGGTTCAAGGAATCCTCATAACACAATCAAGGCTATTTTTAAGGCTCTAAATGCGGTATGTAGAATAATCTACTCATTCTAAAGGCATTCTATTTTTTATATTTGATTTAACTCACGTTTGCATTTTGTTTTCCTTTACAGATTGAAACTCCCAAAGAGGTTCAAGAAAAGTTTGGTCGAACTGTTGTCAATCATATTTACTATAAAGGTGTGTTTTCAGATCTTTTCGCAACATTTAATATGTTTTTTCCACTACATTTCTCCTGAATGTGAAAAAGGGCTAGTTTAGTACGAAAATAAGAGAAGTATAAAAACATTGTTTAACTGTTGTATTTTCCTTGACTTTTATATGATAATGATGATGATATGATTTTATAATACTTATTCCTCAAGAATCTGTATTGTGGTTATGTTTAAATTTTTTGACAAAGGAGCCATTAGTGTGCCCCGATTAGAATTTTATTGACTCATAAATTTTCTTTTCGCAGGTTTAATAAGGGCCACATCCTGTCTTCTTCTGGAGGTGCTATTCCCGGCAGAGGCCAATGGGATATGTTGTAGAGTTCTGCTTTGCCTGGAAACAACTGTAAATGTGATAGCCATGGAAGCAAAGATGCTATGAAAACATCCTATATCATTGTCAAGCCAAGTAGGATACAACAAAGAGGCATTAAGGATTTAAATAATCTTAATTTTCAAATGCCCAAATACTGGAGTTAATATTTCACTTTGGAGTTTGTTTAGTTGTATCATTATTGATAGATATGCCTTTTTGTGCGAATTTACCATCTTTGAGTATTCATTTTCTGTAGTTTCAGTGGATATAAATTAAAAACTAATGGTAATTAAAAAATGTGAGCTTCGGATTTTCCTCTAGTTTGTAAATACAAGCTGCATTCGAGGTATTTTAACAATGTTGTCGATGGGATTCCTCTGTTTTACGTGGATATAGACATATAGTCTCATCTTGCGAAACTACAATTTTTTTTCATGCGAAAACAAAAAGTCACTACGCATTTTACTTTATAGCTTAGCCAAACATGCTCTTAATCACAATCTTAGCAGGTGATCTGATCATCTATTTATGAGAAATAATATATTTTCTCTCATCTAAACTTATAGCTATTGATATTGAGACCTCACGAGAAAGATACACATTTAGAAACAGAAGAAAATGAAAAAGGTTCGGTAAATATGAGAGTTTTTGCATGCCAGTGCTTCAAAAAATCATATTTGATGCTTCCTTGCACGTTTTACCAATTTACAAGCTGTCCATGGAAATAGACATTTTTCCGGACTCTGCTCCTTAACGAAATAGGCTTGAAGATACTTGGAAACAGCCCTGAAAAGATGCATGAAATCATGCATTCGTAGACTTAACCATGTCAAAATAAGTTGAGCCAAATATAAGTGGCCAGTAACAGGACAATAGTAATAAATACAATTTACAAGGAGAAAATCATTGCACTTTCGACAGAAAAGCCAAGTAGCAAGACATATACATCGTGTTGGGAAATTATGGAATAAAATAGAGAAATTAACACAAAATATCCTTACCTTTCATTTTTTGACATTTTTACTCTTACCTTCACCTTTTATTGTGGAAATCATCTTTTTTATCATTTTTTTTTTTGTGTAAAATGACAAATATACCTCCTATTTAAATAAAACAATAAAAAAGAAAAGAAAAGAAAAGAAAATTTAAATAAAAATTGCAATCATACTTCCAAGCTTTTTTAAAAAAGTGCAAATGAGTCCAAATAAATTATTAAAAAGATAATTAGCACAAAATATTCCTATCTTTTATCATTATTATGTAAAACGTCCATACTTTTCTTTTCTTTTTTTGACATTTTCACCATTATTTTATATTTCATTGCAAAAATCATTACTTTCATCAATTTTTTTTAATTAAAAGCTGTAAAATGACAAATACACACTTCTTTTTAAATAAACAAAAATAAAGAAAAGAAAAATAAAGAACAAATTGCAAGTATAATCCCAAATTAAAAAAAAGTAAAATATATTTTAAATAGATAATTGAAAAACAAAAATTGCTTTATTTTTTAATTATTTATTTGGAATTTATTTGTACTTTTTTAAAAATTTTGGAAATATAGTTGTAATTTTTCTTTATTTAAATATGAGTGTATATTTGTCATTTTATAGCCTTTAATTGAAAAAATGGATGAAAATAACGATTTTCGTAATGAAATATGAAATAAAGGTGAAAATGTCAAAAATGAAAGGTAGAAACGTGTTGCACAATAAGAATGAAAGGTAGGGACATTTTGTGTTAATTACCCTTTGAATAATTTATTTGGACTCATTTGTATTTTCTTAAAAAGTTTAGGAGTATGATTGCAATTTATTCTTTTACTTTTTTATTGTTTTATTTAAATAGGGGGTATATTTTTCATTTTACATGAAAATTTTGATGAAAATGATGATTTCCATAATAAAATGTGAAGGTAAGGGTAAAAGTAACCAAAAAATAAAAGGCAGAAACGTTTTGCCCAATAACATTGAAAGATAAGAATATTTTGTGCTAATTACCCAATAAAATATAGCAGATATACCATGTGCAAATTTATATTTAAAATAACTTTTTGGCGAGTGAAAAGTTGGATGGAGTTTTGACTAAATTAATGAAATAAAATAAAGCAGAAATAATATGGTCACTGCAAGAGTTCTACTCATTCACTTTAAATTGATAATGCTTTGCATTGGTGCTAACGTTCCTTTCATACTTGTCTTCTAATATACAACAACTCCGACTTGTAATAGCAACACTCCAAATAACAAAATCAATTGAATATACTAAAATTTTGATCTCTTTGAGTGGAAGAGGCCTCGTATATGCAAACATAATAATTTTCTTCAACCATTTAATTCGCTAATCAAGATTCATTGCTATCGCAGTGTACTTGGTCGAATTTTTCTAATGTATTTAATTTACCTCTCCTGAGTTCAAATTGATTTAATTTAACTAATTCCACATCTTTATGTGAATCCGAATACACCTTAACTAAATGCCTTAAAGCTCTAAAAATCCTTATAACAACAGCATTAACTACAAAACTAAGGTACCATACAAAGAATGGTTGGTTATCTCTACACTTTCAAACTAATTATCAACTTTTACTACTTTGTTTAAATCAATAATCTGCCCATCGACATAATTATCGCTTACAAATCAATGAAATAGTAACCAATTAATTCAAAGCATTAAAAATAAAAGTGGAAATAATTCACAACATCAAATGGAGATTTTAAAATTTTTTAATTAAAATTCATACTCAAAATAGGGTACAATCATTCACCCTAACTCATTACTTAATTATACATCATTTGAGAAGAAAAATACAAGAAGAAGTTAGATTACGTCACCAAGTTTTAAGGAAAATCGAGAAAAAGACAAAGATATTAGATCAATATTTCGCATTTTTCTTGTAAAAACCTTTAAATTCTTGTTTCTTAATTGATTTCTTTATTCTTTCCTTCTTTCAGGCTCTCTTTTCTTGTACTTTTGTTTACAAGAAATTCATTTGGCA